TATTTTTTTCTTTTTAAATATAGCAATAAATATCGTATTGTGGACTTCATACCGTGGTATTATCGTATCGTGAGATTTTGATGTTGTTACATCCCTACAGTTAAGGCAGGACACTACAGGCAAAACCATTGTTTTTTCATGCACTGGTCAACTTTGAGATTCTCAGAATGAGTTTGTTTCTCATTCATCAAACTTAACACTTTTATTCATATCTATAAACTGAAGGTTCCTGTAGAGGGGTTTGCGGTAACACTTTAGATTCACTATTAACTAGTAGCTTATTAGCATGCCTATTATTAACATATTGGCTGTTTATTAGTACTTATAAAGCACATATTCTGCATGATCATATTCTACATCCCTAATCCTACTAATACCTAAACTTAACAAATACCTTACTAACTTAATAAACAGCAAATTATGAGTAATTTGTTTGGCTTCCTAAAACACCAGTGTGAATGTAATTTAGACTGAGACAGTATATCACAAATAAAAAGAGGGTTGAGTCTCATTTAAAGTTCAGGTAAAAGTGAATTTGCTGACTTTTTTCTGACTTAAGTTTTCTTAGTTAAGGACATGGGTTGGAGCTCTTAATTTTGAACCCTCAAAGTGCATTACATAGAAGATTTTAACTTTAAAACTTACAAAATTGTCTTTCTTTTTCTTTCCAATTCTTCATTTGTCTTTTTTTCCCCAAATAACGCAATAAATATTGTATCGTGGACTTCATATCGCGATATTATCATATCGTGATATTTTGTGACATCCCTAGTGAATAGTGGCTTAAATTTCAAGTTTTTACACAAAACGTCTCTAGGTTACGTATGTAACCATGGTTCCCCGAGGGAACGAGACGCTGCGTCGAGATTCGCTTTGGGAACGCCCCTGCGTGACCTTGATCATGCGAAGCGGATTCCCCCTCGGGGAAAATCCCCACCACTGCAAGGGTCTCATGTACAGCAGTCCAAAAGGTATACCGTTGGACGCCGCTGCCATCAAACCCAACAGCCTCTGAAACTGTTTGACAGTGAGTGACTGGCCTTCTCTTACTCTCTTGACTGTTGTGAGGATTGACTCGATACGAGCAGGAGACAAACGTGCCTGCATCGTGGTAGAATCCCACACCACGCCTAAATAAGTGGTTCTCTGTAGTCAGGGGTATCAATGAACCTCCGTGAGGGGACTGAGGAGGATTGGGCACCGTATACTAAGATGTTATCCTTTCCTCTCCAGGTGGGGCTGCCCTCAGGGACCTGACATTGGTAGGACCGTTTAGCCGAGGTCCTCTTAGACAAAATAACGGTCCGCAGATCCGTTTTCGGTCTAGAAGACCCCGACTGAGAGCGTCGCCCCGACCCCCGATCTTTCTGTGGAGGGGTGCGGGTTGCAACGCTCTGTTTTTGAGACTGGCGATATGAGGAGCTTGACGGCTTGGGCTGCTCCCGCTCAGCAGCCCCACCCCTGAGCAGGTCAACCTGGTATGCTTGTAACACCGCCATGGTGTGCAAACATGCGCCAGCCTGACCTGCTGCCGTATAAGCTTTCCCAACCAGACTCGATGTAAGCCTAACGGGCCTGGTGGGAAGCTTCGGGGCCTTCAGGGACGATGCTGAGGATGGGGAGAGATAGCTCACAAACGTCTGCTCCACCACTGGCATCGCCCCATATACCTTATCATTCAGCCCCACGATGTTCTTTTGAATAATTCGAGACTGTGGGGCTGTAATACGGGATGAGTACGGTTTCTCCCACGATCTTTCTTTTGAATGCTTGTGGACTGACAGACAACAGTAAATAGACTGACACATACACATAGCGCTACAGAAGAGCAGAAGCTAACTTGCGCTCTGCCGGATGCGCTTTTATACTTCCTGGCGCTCACGTCACCCCGCTCGTGACGTCTCGCTGCTCCATTGGACTGATTTTACACGTGCTTCAGAACGCGGTCACGCAGGGGCGTTCCCAAAGCGAATTTCGACGCAGCTCGAGTTCCTGAAGGGGAACTACCATAGATTGTACTGTTCTGAAACATTTGTATTACTATCAAGGAAACTTTCATCAAAAAATAAAAAAAAATCATTATGCTTTTGCCAAACACAAAAGATGAAATGATCATTTTTAAACAAATGAACACAAAAGGAATCATACATAAGATACCAATATAAAAATATGAAAAAAATAATACAAAAACTGCAACCTTCCTACAAAATCTCGAAGTTGTTGCAAAGCAAGTTCTTTCAAAGAAAATTACAATTCCCAAATTTTATACTGTCAGCAAAATTATTGTGATAAGTATTGCCCAGTCCCACTGGGAAGGAAGATTATCAAAATAAATAAATATATTAATTTATTAATTAAAAAAGTTTTTTTTTTTTTAGCTTGGAAACTCCAGTTCCCATTCATATTGCATGGAAATGACCAACGTCATTCATTAAAATTTCTTCTTTTGTGTTGCACAGAAGTAGCAAGTCAAACAGGTTTTGAAACAACAAAATGAGTCTGACAAAATGATGTATTATTCATTTTTAGGTTAAAAAAGCCTTTAAATCTTTAAAAAAGTCATCAACATCTTGCAAGAACAAACACACTGCAATTTAAGTGTAAAATAACCCCAAGGCTCTGTTGCAAGCACAGGAAGAGGCAAGCAGGGTGCTCGCATGACAGTTTTGACAGTCAAATACATGAAGAGCGAGAAAGATTAGGTGTGATTCCTCTGTCTGTGAAAGTTCACGCTGACTGAACAGGTTGAGCTGTTGTCAATAAAAAAAGATGTGGAAGCGCTGTTAACAGCGTGACAAAAACAAAGTCTTTAATCACCAGCACTGGTGAAAACTATAGAGGTCTGAGTAAAAGTCATCGAGCCGAGCAACTGTCTGGTCTTGAACTGGCTTTGATTTGGGGAAGCTGCAATATGTCAGATTTGAACTACAGCCTGACCGATATGGGTTTTTTGGGGGGCCGATGCCGATACCGATATTAGGGAGTAAAAAAGACCGATACCGATATATCGGCCGATATTCTTTATGTGTAGGCTATATTATAGTACAGTATAGTCAAAAGTTTGGACACACTTCCCATTCGTGTGTCCAAACTTTTGACTGGTACTGTATATAGAATACAGTATATAGCCTACATAAACAGAATATATATATACATAAACACATTTTTTGCAATGATAACTCAAATGTGGTGATCAAACACTTATAATGATGTGACAAACATAGGCCTATGTAGTGGAGGCAGGGTATTTAACAATAAACTTTATTATTCAAAATGAGTCTAAATGAGTCAGTGCACTTAACAGTAAACTTCACTTCACTTATTATAAATAACTTAAATAACACATCAAAAATAAGACAAATTCCATGAAATTCCGCGTTATACAGTAAATTCAGTTTTTATGACTGGATTCCGCGATTCCGTTCATGTTTTCTGCCTTGCGGAAATCATAGGGCCCTACTAATGTAGCAAACAAATATGATAATCTCATTGTGAAAGTAAAAGACGGGGACATTGTTGTTTATTTACTTAGCATTGAGTCTCTCCAACTGGGTGACAACGTAGTCTCTAACGTCACTGAATCTGCTGTTAAAAATGAGCCATCCATTCATCATATCACCATGCAAAACTAAGAATTAGAATCATTGTAATGTGACGATCAAATATAGGTGCGGGCGGATAATTTGAAGCAGTGGACTCGGGTGAAGTTTGAGCTCATCCGCGCATCTCTACACTACACTGACCTGGGTCGACAGTAGCAAACAATGGAGACTCTGCTGGACAAACTAAATAATTACACCATTCAGAAGCATTTAATCTGCGTTATATGTTCTGTAAAAAAAATGTTCATATCGGCGGCATATTTGCCGATACCGATATATCGGCGACAGGCTCATATCGGACGATAATATCGGCTAAACAATATATCGGCCGGGCTCTAATTTGAACCACCCTGTCAACAAAAGCTAGTCTTTGGAGATGTTGGAGCAACACACAGTTATAGCTGCCAGATGAAATGTACAAAAACATTTCCGAGTAAGTTCACTTTAAACTCAACATTTAAAAACTAATATTGTCACAAATCAGCTAAAAAAGTCACTTCAACTAAAGAGCTACCAGTCATTCCCTCACCTCTATCAGCCCTCAAACAAGAGTATGTACAGACAAGCTGTTTATCAGCCCAACACCAAGATACATACCTGCAATATATCAGCATAAATCCATGACAAAGGATAAAGCTTAGCGTCTAGGGTCAGGTATAACAATCTGAGCGCCTGCCACGGCCTCGTTTGACAAATATCACAATTCCTCTCAGGCAAGCTATCGTTCAGCACGGCAGCTGCGAACTGACAGCTCTGCAGGTTAATGGCATACTGATTAAATGAGACGTGTGTTAATGTTGACAAGGTTAGGGCCTGATAAATCACAAGAGGTATGAATTTCAATGCCGGCTATTGGGCTGCTGCTTTATCAGAGTAATTGGCTGCACCCTGTATGGATAATTTATTTACATTTGACCACAATTAATTGGCCGTGATGCTGCTACAAATATGAGCTGCATTGCAAATAAAGCAAATAAATGTGTTACGAAAGTACCTTGGACAGACAATATCAGGCTAAACGTTCTGGAAAATGATCTAAAAGGTTTGACAAATCCATACAACCAATTTCCAATTCATTCAAATGTTCCTCACAGACATAATACTATGAACATTAAGGATGTCTGAAAAGCTTTGTAAAAATCATTCATCAGCATTATTCAGAAGGTATCAGCTTTCTAAACAACATTTAAGTTACACCGGACATTGTCATTTAATCTTTACTTCATCTAATATGGGCTTTTAAAGACATTAAAAGTCCAAGAAAACATAGCAGACTTGAGCATGAATTCATGAAAGGGTTCTCAAAACAACTGACAAAATAACTAAAAAACAATTATTTCCAACAAAAAAGCGTGACTAACAATATAGGCAAAAAAGTAATTAGACACAATTACTTACTCTCAGCAATGACGCGTCGTCCTGTCCAGTCGTCATTGATGACTTGTATATTCCCATAATGAACATCGCTAAAGAAAATCCGATTGGTTCCGTGCATTTTCTGACGATGATCAAAGGCCAAAGCTATAACGTTTTTAAAATAATTTGGGTTTTCGTACGCCCTTATTGGCGAGTTGAGGTTATTCTCATCCGATAGATGAATACTCCTCAAAACGGTCCTCTCGGAGTACAGCAGGTAACCCTCATACCTGTTGCACCTGAGTCCATCCTGAGCAAGATATCCGTGGGCGCAAGCACAAGTTTTCCGGTTATTCCCCAAGTAAAAACAAAGTTGCTGGCATCCTCCGTTCGCTCTGCTGCAAGCGTTCGTACCTGGGTAAGTCAAAAAAATACAAAGTAGGATGTCAAACTCAGTTCCTAGAAGGTCACTGTCCTGCAGAGTTTAGCTCCAATCTCAATTTAACATATGTGAAGCAGCTAATCAAGTGCTTCAGGATTACTAGAAACCTTCAGGCAGATGTTTTGGAGTTTTGCAGGACATTGGCCCTTTGACACATGTGGTCTAAACAAATGATATCACCTAATAATGGCTTTGAGACAATAGTTTCACCATGCAAACAAAATTCAAGTGTAATTTGAAAGGGTCCAATGTTTGGGTGAACTATTCCCTTCCTGTAAAGCTCAAAAAACAAGAACTTTCTCAGACATTTACTGCTATGACAACAAGTCTAATTGATCTCTTTTTACATATGGTGTCCATCACCAGGTGTTTGTTATCAGCAGGAGTATCCAATCCTGCCCCTGGAGGGCAACTTTTCTTTTAAGTTTAGCTCTAGTGCTCATTAATCACCTCTGAGCCAGCTAATCAAGGTCTTCAGGGTTACTAGAAACTTCCAGGTATGTGTGTTGGAGCAGGTTGGAGGTAACTCTGCGAAAAGGTGTTCTTCCAGAAGCAGGATTGGACACCCCTGCTTTATCTGGGATAAACTTGTACTTGTGTGCATTGGTGCAATGTTCAAAGAACAGGAAAACTGCCATAAAGTGAAACCTCAACCTTTCTCCCGATCCTGGTTAAAGACCTTCACATCTTTCAGACTGACGCCCAAGCCGCTCCTGATGGTCACTACGTCCACGGCGTCTTTCTTGGAAGCACGGCGGATGGATCCATTGGCGTAGGCTCTACCGTTATGGGGGCACAAAACCGAAAGTTAGACACTTGCTAATAGATGGCCCTCGAATAATTAAAACCAAATAACTCATTAAAATACAGTACACAGCTGCTCTAACAGAAGGTGAGGTAACCCATCCTTGGAATGACACTGAACCACGGGAGATTCTGAAATAATCAAAAGTGTCTTTTTGCACTAGGCATTGCGACCTTGTAGGGAAAATGGGACGGTATCTGCTTTCTTGGGCCATTCTTTGAGACTGTAACATTTATGGAAAATAAATTACCTGTCAGACCAGAAGAGGTAAGCCCCAAAGACTGCTATGGAAAACATATCCACCCCACTCGATGAGAACACAATCTCCCTCTGCTCACCCCGCTCAAGGTTGATTCTTTCAATCTTGTTGTTGCGGGCATCGCACCAGTATAATTTATTTTCCTACAATGCAGTTGGAAGACAAACATCATGCATCTGTTGTATTAAGAATGAATGGATATATGATCTGGCTGCCCTAAAGCTGTAAGATAAGCCATGAAATCAACATGGACTGCAACCTGCAGAGTAAGCATGTAGGGGAAGCAGACCTGGTAGTCTATGGAGATGCCGTTGGGCCTTGCTAGTCCGGTGCTAACAAGCACGGATTGCTCTGAACCATCGAGATGTGACGTGGAGATGGTAGGACTCTGGCCCCACTCCGTCCAGAAGAGAAACCTGCATGAATTCAAAGGAGAGTATGGTTAAGTAGTCATCCTGAGGAATTTTGACCTTCGCACAGTTTGAAATCCAAGATCTGTCTTCAGTTACAGTGAAAACAAGTACATTTCTAACAGGGTTACAGTTTGTTTGGGCTAATGCTGTGTTCAGGTCCTCATGGGAAAATTCTAATTAGGGTGTGTTTTTCCTGTCCTCTACCATTCACAGCCTATTTCTAAATGGAATCGGATAGTACACTGTCAAAAAAAAAAAAAAAGGTTACAACAACCTGTAAGGGTACAACAACTGGTCCCTGGCGCAGTACCCTTGAAGGCACAACTTTGTACCTTATCTACCCCTAAAAGGTGAATATTAGTGCCTTAGAGTAGTAATATGTACCAATAAGGTACTACTATGAACCGGTTAAGGGTAAACGGTGTTGGGGAATAACTAGTTACATGTAACTGCATTGCATAATTTAATTACAAAATAAATGTAAATGTAATTAAGTTACAGTTACTTATGAAAATGTTAACGATTACAAAGGTCTGACAGTATTCAGTGTTGAGTACTATTGTAAGGTTAACCCTGTCTGGTTTAAATGTTTGTTACATTACTTAATAAAGTAATTAAAATAGTTACTCTACTTATACTTTAAATAGGGTATATTATATTTTATATTTTTTATATTTTAAATAGGGTAACTTGTAATCTGTAACCTATTGCATTTACAAAGTTGCCTTCCTAACTCTGAGGGTAAATAAGGTACAAAGACGTCCCTTTGATAGTACTGTCCCAGTGACAACCTGTTGTACCTTTAAAGGTTCAGTTTTTGCATATTCAAGTGTAAATTATACAAAATGTAGAGCAGGATTTGAATTCCATCAGGGACTGAATGGATCATTAACAATGGTCTCTCACATTTGCAGGGTAGACGTTAAAAACTGAGTCTTTTGGTGATGCCAGTGAAAACCATAACAGCTTCATGTTTATATTCCACTTTTACAGTACAAAGCTGTAGATAATGAGATAACTCATTACAAAAATGAGGTCAAGATTATGATGGCCCTCTCAAATTAGAATACATGCAATGGAAATTATAAGGCCTTTAAGGAGGACGTACATCTGCAGTTAACAAGCTTTGAGGTGCTAATTGCACATGCTAACTGCTCTCTAGATGATCATAGGTCATTCATTTAAACGCTGTTGCCACACTTGGGTGAAACTGAAGCTTAGCATTAGAAGAAAAAAATAAACCAGAGGGTATTTTTAGAGTGGAAAAATAAAAAGGCAGATACATACCCTTTCATTGGGTGCACAGCAATGGCTCTGGGTTGATCAAGACCGTCAGATATCACCATGGCGCGGAACATGCCATTCAATCGAGCGACCTCAATGAGATTTAAGCCATGGTCCGTCCAGTAAATATTACCTTTGGATGCAAAGCAACAAAGACCCTGAACCTACAGAGAAACAATAAGCCTGACAACATCATTTTGGAAACGCATAGAAATGCTAAAAGAAGAGAAACCTTCACACCTGCAATCCAGTCCACTGCAAGTCCTTCAACACGTCCAAGACCACTTGTGACAATGTCCTCTCTCCAGGTTTGATCTCGACTGGATCTAGAGATTCTGTTGGAGCCCATGTCCGTCCAGTACAATGTATCATTTCCTAAGATATGCAATTAGAAAATAACCCCTAATTATAAAGTGTGCCTAGACTAGTTAGCACCTGCTGTTAAATTGCATAACTACCTTATTATAGGGGCAAAAAGTATCTTTAGTTAGGGTTGCACAAGATATCTGTACCATATTAGTCATCGCCTGTTACATTTTAGTTTTATATGTATCAATTGATATTGTACACTTAATAGGTTGTTTGCAATCACGTGATTCTGATGACACGTGAAATGCAGCTGGAGGGCAGGAAGTGATTTTTCTCCATAGGAATCACTAGCAGAAACTCAAAATGCCAGTGTTTTGCATTGTTTATGGATGCTCAAATCGGACAAACCGAGAAACCACAAGGAGCTTTTATCGTGTAAGAAAATGTGTTGTTCATAAGGGGGGAAAAGTCAAGAAATTGATTGAAAAACGCAGGAAAAAGTGGCTTGTAAACCTGCGTCTGCGGTCGGGAGGAGCGCTCCTTGTGGTTTCTCGGTTTGGCCAATTTAAGCATCCATAAACAACGCAAAACACAGGCATTTTGAGTTTCTGCTAGTGATTCCTATGGAGAAAAATCACTTCCTGCCCTCCAGCTGCATTTCGCGCGTCATCAGTGATGTCATGTGCAAACAACCTATTGTGCATACTAATTTCCCAAATTTTTGATTACTGTTGCTGTCAACTCTTTTACCTTCTACATCACAGCAGCTAAGAACTGTATGCATTATTGTGCTGATGGCCAATTCTGAATAACCAAGGCCTTCAAAAAATGATTTTGAAGAGCTTTTGTCAAGCTCTACCTACAAAAATGAGTCTGTTTCTGCTGGCCAAAATGTCTTCGCCCTTTTGCTCTCATTCAAACCCACCTTTTCTCCAAAACAATAGAGGCTAAAAAGGCCCAAAGTACTCGTGATTGTCCTGGCTCCCATGGTCTGTCCCTTTCAAAACGCTTTTCACAAAAATTGATTTGACTTGGCCGCACTGCATTATCCGTAGCTTCATGCATCACCAGCTCCTCGCCTACTCAAAAATTTACATTATATCCCTTTTGACAAAAACTCCAATGAAGCCCATTCACATCGTTATGAGGCATCGGCTCATCTGTCCAGCTAATCTGTTTCGATTATATTCCATCTGTCATAACCGCATTTCGCATCCCTTCACCTCATCTCGCAATGAAAAAAATATATATAGACATGCAATGCAATGCCAATATTTGCTTTATCATGCAAATGCAGAGCTGCGAACTGTCTGTCGCTGATGCAAAGAGTGGCATTTCTGTCTCAGTGCGGAGACAGCTGTCCAATTACTGCACTATATGAATCTGTCCCAAACACTGGCAGATACCCTGCAAATCAATGTTTTCCTCATGTCAAGGGGTGATATGTTGTTGTACACATGGCATGGCGATGCCTAATTGCTTTGGTTTCTAAATACACAACTAATTCAAAGAACAATAACAGCTCATTTCAGAAGAATCAAAAATGTCTACCTAATTGTAGTCCGTAGAACAAAATATCATGTTTTCCTCACATTTTTACACTGTTTTTATAGAATACTTTTAACACACTAATCTTGAAGGCAAATTTTAACCATTATAGCTGTGATGTTACATCCAAACTACCATAATTTATGAACTTTGGCCACTACCTTTTCAATACGACCATGCCATTAATCTCTTTTTTGCTTGTTTATTTGTTTTGTTTTGTTTTTAATTATGACAACATAGATTTCATTTGTTAAACTATCATTACTGAATTATTTTCAATTATTTAAATAAAGCTGAATAAAATAAAATATTAAAATTAGACAAAAAAAACAACAACAATTAAAAATGCTGCCCTAGTTTTAATGACTAAAACTAAAAGAAAAACAAATATGAATAACAGTATATAAATAATACTAAAATAACACATGCATATTACAGTAAAAAGTATTAACATACACTTTCCTTAATGATATAATAATTCATATTTTAATATAATATAATAAAATATCACTATTAGATGAAAAACATAAATAGGAAATGCTGCCTTTGTAACTAATTGAATTAAATATGTCTAAACTGAAGTAACAAAAAGTATAATATCTAAAACCGAAATATTACAAATAAATGTAAAAAAAAAAATAGACAAAAGCACATAAAATTACTACAACAAACTTAAAGTTAAATTAAAACTGCAAACAAAAATAAAAGTTATTTCAGAAAACGGATAAACATTATAGTAGTGTATAAATAATATTAAAATAATGTATGTCAGTAAAAAGTATTAAAATGCAGTTTCCTTTGTGATTTAAAAAATGCATGTAAATGAAGAAAAGTTCAAACAAAACATAAACATTAGCTGAAAAATGAAAATAAGAAACGTTGCCTTGGCAGCTAACTAAAACAGCACAATTAATAAAACTAAAACTGAAATACAAATAAATATCAAAAACTATAAATAATTACTAAAATGCATACAATTACTAAAACTAAAACTGAAATACATTTTCATTTAATAACATTAATAATATTAATTCATAATATAAAATTATAAATAAGAATAATTTATTTAAAAATATTTATTTTTGGTTTTATGTTTTTTTCTTTTATGATCAAAGAAAAAGTATACTTACCGGCATGATAGTCCAGTCCCACGGCGAACAGAGTGCCAGTTAGCGGCATCAAAACTTCCGAGTTATCGCTGGGATCCAGAGACAGTCCTCTTATACCTTCATTAACGGAGTACATCAGGAAAGACTGAAGACCTAGCAAAGAAAAAAACAAACCAACCCCTTTCCAGGTCAATGTGCTTTTGAAAAATAATGAATACCTCCGAGATCGGAAGGTTAATTACGTCCGTATGCAGAGGTCACAACTAACGGTCGTACCTTCACAGGTGGAGCGGTCCGGACGAAGGTTGTAGCCCGTAGTACAAGAACACGTCCGGGTTGTTTCAGAAGTGGGAAGGCAAAGCTGGGAACAACCGCCGTTGTTTGGTATACAAGGATTGCGACCTACGAAGAAAATTTGAGAATTTGTGAATGCGAACAGGTGTATCTAATGGTAATCTGTCAAACTAGTTTGGTGACTAGCTTGTGTACATTCTTAAACCAATTTCAAGAACATCACAAACACAAAACGAAGTGGAGGGGAAAAAAACGATGGTGCTTTGACTTTGTTCCTCGGACACCTCGTCAGAAACACCCCAGTTAGCTCGTTTGAAGTGGCGTAATGAGACGGGCCTTCGCTCCCGTGAGGTCCGTGTCAGAGAGATAAATGAGGGAGCTAATTGGTATGAGGAGATTTGAGAAGGTAGCAAAAAGATTTACCTTAAAGAGCCCCTAATTGCCAGTTTTTTTTTCAATCCTAATAGAGCGTTTAGAGGATCAAGAACTCCTCTGCTAATAGACCTGTCAGTGATATGAATGTCTCTCGCCATAATTCATAAAGAGGAAAGGGCTTTGGCAATGTGTGGCCGTAGAAACATATCCATTATGAAACAGAACCGCTGTCCGAGTCATGTGCAACCTCACCTTGAAGAAATTATAAGGATTTTATTATTTGGGGGCATTAATGAAAATATGAGTTTGAAATTATTCTGAAAATTAAGGTAACATAAATAAAATTTTTGAATGAAAAAAATGTTATTACTATTATTGTTAAATAAAACAAAATATAAATATTAAATGAAGAAACAAAATTATAAATGTTGTCTTCACAACTAAAATAAAATAAATTTTAAATAATAATAATAATAGTTAAATATTGTAATAAAACCGTGTCAGAGGGAACATGGTCATGGGAAGTCTAGAAATAGCAGGGTATTTCATTAAAAGTCATTAAAATATATTTCAAAAATACTATTTCAAACATAAAAATATTTAAAAACATAAAAATTTAAATAAAAAATAAATACTATTAAAATACTACCACATTAAAATACTTGAAATATACTAAAAATAGTTGAAAAAAAATAAAAAATTAAAATTAAAATTCATTATCAAGTCATGAATGGCTTGAAACTTTTTTTCAAAAGTCAATAAATGGAATTAAATGATAAAAAGGTGTGGAAACCCTTGACATTGTCTTGTGTATATTTTATTTGATTTTAAAATACTTAAGTTTAACATAACCAATAGTATAGTGGTTTATCAAATCAATTGAAGACAATATAAAAATTAATACAATTATATGCTGTTATATTTCTAATGTATTATTTAATAATATGTATTATAATATTACTTTATAATTAAGTTATTAAATATTAATATTTAACTGCCAGAAATGGCTTTTTTGTTAGTGTTAAATGAAAACAACTATTTGAAAAAAAAGAAAAAACTATTTGAAATAGCACTAAAAAAATAAAAAATTCCTTAAAAAAAATTTAAAAAAAAAAAAACTTTCATTCCGTTCAAGGAAGTCAATGAAGGTAACTCATTGATCAAAAGGTGTGTGAACTCTTAATATCGCTTGTGAGTGAACAAATGTAAACATGTTTTGCTTTCAAAAGAAAAAAAACACATTTGATGTTAATCACTCTTTAGAAGCTGTTGTGTCTGGGTTTTATTTTAGACAAAACATTCAGGAATATGTTTCTTTTTACCTTTCTGACTGTCTTTGTCATACACTTTGATGTGGACAATGCCTGTGGTCTTATCCCGAAGAACCGTCAGGTTTTTTCCATCCCTCTTGTTAATGGTTCCCAGCTGTGCGAGAACATCATCTGCCCACCATAGCTTCCCACCTAGAGAGAAAAATAATGCGTCTGAACAGCTGAAAAACACTGAAATCTCTATTTTAAATGCAAATTTGACAAGTAACATTTACATGAACTTTTCTTTTTTTCAACATCAAGATTTCAGGTTAAAATTCAAAGGAAAATGAAAGAAATGACATGTCACCATTTCATTATAACAGACATTTCTGAATAACCCTTTTGCCTTTATCTTAAAACGTTATGTGCATAAATTATTTAACATTAATTTCAATATTAAACCATTAATAAATCAATGTTATTATTAATTAAATATTCATAACTAATAAATATAAGTAAAATATAAGTAGTAATAGTATTAATAATAATAAATAAATAAATAATGTAACGAATCAGCTCATGAGGAAATATGAATAATTAATCATAACTAGTTATAATTAATTATGAATATTTAGATCCGCTGTAGATATTTACTTGACCTCTCAGGGTCAACTGTTAAATGATTTTTAATTATTTAGCTATAGCTGTATGGACTGTAGTACTTCTGGGCACTTATTATATTACTTTACTGTACATACTTGTCCTCTCTGAAATTGAACCAGGGCGAAATGTGTCTTTATCCGTGCTGTATTTCTTTGCTGTGGACAGCACACTGCAAATCCGCTAAGCCCTATGGCGTGTCAATTCAGCCTTTAAGAAATGGTACAACACCGAGAAAACCAACCAGGACTCACACACCGTCTGTGATTACACATCATAAAAAGGCATGCAAGTGTGCCGCAGTCTCCCAACATCCTTTTCCCCGGTGACCCGAACCGCTCACGACGAGCTACACATTCCTTTGCCCATATTACTTGCGAGTCATGTCTTAGATTGAAGGAGGAGACGTCCCTCGGCGCGAAACCACGCCACCATACCCCTGTTCTACCCACCCTCTCAGCACTTATGAATCCCATAGGTGTGAGCAGCGGCATCTTAGTCCCCTGGCAGCCCTGAATGGATTACATACAGATGCCAAAAAGCAAGCAGGACTATTCTTAGCGCTCGGCCTGAGCTGAAGCTATCAGCCGTTGGCAGACACAAACGCAGGGGAAATGAATTACGGCGAACATTGTTGTTGTATACTTAACGTAGGGCACAGCAGAGGATCGTTTAGATGCTCCGTGGTGGAGAAAGTTCCTGAATGGAGTAAGGGTACAGATTTAATTTGATGCAAATGAAAATGTTGCTAGAAATGTGTCAACTGGTAGAGATTTTCATACACGTTTTCATTTTATTCTGAATATATTTGGGGTTACATATATTGGATTGGCATTTAACAAATGTTACCAGATAAAATGCAGTGTAATTGAACAAATTAAACTAAGAATGTAAATTTTTAATGACCTGTACAGCTACAGAGAAAAAAGTAATCACACCCCTACATTTATCGCCCAAAATTACGATTATAAGTGCAAATTTGCAGAACATCGTAAAAGAGAAAGAACTTAACATAAACCTCAATAAACCAGTCTATTTTGATTAAGTCTATGGTACCATTATGTCGAAATCAAAAATATGCCCTAGCTACATGTAAAAATTAGCTAAAAACATTATGTATTGGGTGCACTTACTTTTTACATTGGAGACAATTGAGTTTCTGTAGATATCTTTGTTAAATAAAGCATTTCAAAGTCCAGTTTTCATTGTTAATTGTTAAACTGCATAACTTTCGGCCTATCAATGCTTTCTAAATAGTAAATCAGAGGAGCACATACAAAATAAATAAATATATTTTAATAGGGTGTGCTTATTTTTGACAGAAGACAACTGAAGATATTAAAGTACAGTTTTCACTGTTAAATTATATGAAGTTCAGCCATAAATATAATATAAGCCATTAAATATTTGTCCAAATAAAGTTCAAGTTTCAATAAGTACATGTGCGTTAAAAAGACCTTCGATGGGATGCACTTACTTTTTCACAGCACTATATTGACAGGACAATAAGAACTCGTTTGATATGGAAAGGTTTTTTTTTTTTTTTCAGGGGATTTCAGTGAAAACCAATAATGGAGTCTAATGGAGTCTGAAGTCTTTGTCCAATTAATTTTTTGGTTGAAAATGTAGTAAATTTCATTGTACATTAAAGTCATTGAACAAACTATACTTCTAACCTTCATAGCCTCATTTTGTATTCATCACAGTAAATATTTCCCAAACAAAAGCCATGTAAATGTATATTATTCTAAATGGGGTGTACTTACTTATTCACAGCACTACACTGACATGACTATTAAGGCTTATTTGATATATAAATCATTTTTCATTGAATTTCCAGCCATTTGTATTCCATTATAATGATATAAAACCATGTCTTACAGAGTCTGAAGTCTTTTGTCCACTGAATTTTTTTTTTTTGTATACACATATGTTAAATTTGGTTGAATTGCATTGTACATAAATGTAATTGAACAAACTACACTTCTATCTCTCATAGCTTAATTTTTATTCATCAGATTAATTATTTCCCAAATAAGGGTCATAAGTTCTTCAAGTGTAAGAATGAGCAAACTATGTCATTTAAAGACAGCAATGACAAAGAAAATGCAAACGAAAAAAGAAGCCATTAATAATTCATTATCTCTTTACTTGTTTCCTCACTCCCGGGACGGTTGGTAAAAAAACGGGGTTAATTAGAAATAAATGAGTGTAATAACCAATTGGCCATGAGATGAGAACCAAGAATGTGTCAGACGACGTTCAGTTGCTTCATCCAACAGAATGGAGAAATTAAGAAATAAAGTGAGAGGCCGAAAAATGATGTGTCTTCAAATGAAAGCCGGTGTATTTTTGTCACGAATTTCTGTGCTGTATGATTCAAACACAAATTCCTTTGTTTCCATCTGGTTTGATACAATAATTTGTAGGTGCCTTTTAATATATGTCTGTATATAAAATATTAGGGTGTTATATACAGTAGCATGGCTCCACATAACACCCTGATAAATGAGAGGAGTAAACAGTGTTCGGTGTAGCTAAGCAGACAGAACAGACTTCAACCATCACTCCATTACCAGCTCACAGATGCTGATTGCTGGGATGGTGCTCAATCTGATTGTATTAGCGGTTGGCAACGTCGGTATCTGATTGTGAGAGGGTTTGAGAGGATGATATAGCAGGAGAAGCGAGAACAGGTTGTTCCTCGGGGTTTAATCGAATAATACATCCGCATTTGGCATGTTTGGCTGGGCAAATGATTTATCTTATGCAGTCCGCAACATTCAAGATCTTTTACCTCAGGTTCATCGTTCAAAATATTACACAGCCTGTCTTACTGAGAAACTGGCGTGGGTGGAATAAGCCAAATGAAATGAGTTATAATTTGTGTGGCTTTTAAATTATATTTCACAATATAGTTGTTTCAGGAAATGTAATAAAAAATGATTCAGATATTAAATAACCATGCAGTGATGCTTATGGTTGGATACTGCAGTGAATCATGCATTGTACTATTAAAATATACTCACAAAAGTGTATTTGTATACATATCACATTTTATTACTTTCTGTTTTATTTGGAATGTTATGTACACAAAGCAAAGGATGATTACTCATAAAGAAAGTCTTTTCATAACATCATACAATGATTGATTTAAAAAAAGAAAATAAACTAATAAAAATGATCACATATATAATTAAAATCCATGTAAATATAAAAATTAAACCATTCTGACAATTTATATAGAAACAATTTGTATATATACAAACAAAAATGCGTTGTTCATATTTATTGTAAATTAATTTAAACTGCATGTATATAATAGTTATATTTCAAGTCATTGTTAAAAAAGCTAATAATCAACAGGATTTTGTATTAATTTGCAGTTATATTATATTAATGCAATTTTATATGAATATAAATAAAGGGGTTTTGGTAAATGTTAAAACCTGTTTTAAATATATAAAATGAATTATAAATAATAATTATTAATAATTGTTTACTATAACTGTATGCACTATATAATATGCATATACTGTTTTAAAAAATAACAGTTCATTATTATTGTAAATAATTATTAATTGTGAGAATTAAATGTAAATTTTTTAAATTTATATCCGTCTCTATCTCTAAAATCTCTAATTCTGATCAGATGAGCAGTTGTAAAATCTCCAAATAATCTGTATTTATTTATTTTATTTATTTATATTTGTAATGTAAACACTCTAAATAAACATGTTTAAAACCTCATCTCTACTCATATGGGACCTGTCCTGGGGCCTCGTGTATAAAACTTTACGTAGATTTCATCCTAAATGTGTGCGTACGCACAAAAGCTAGATTTTGCGTACGTACAAAAGTTTTCAGATTTATAAAGCCATGCGTATGCCAGAACCTGCGCAAAATTCCCTTTGTAATACCCAGTCAGTGGAAGATTGTGCGTACATGAATCTCCACCCCGTCTCCTCCCCGAAATAGCCATTTATGGAGCTTACAACGCCTAGATTTAATATGCATAACGTCATCTGCATATTATTTCCATGCATATTCCATCCACATGACACCATGTTTAACGTAGTTAAGGGTAGGAACACGTTAGGAAAATATGAGATACAGACTATAAATGCGTTTTGAGACATCACTATTCTAATTTATGCAATTTGCCTAAAAGGTAAACATATATTTTAGAATGTTTATAGCCTATATTTTTATGGAAAGAGATAGGCCTTATTTTTTTTACAGTGTAAATAGCTGTCTGACTCACCGCGTCAATAACAAAACATTTTTGAAAATAAAACGCACATATCTTACAGTTTCCTTCAAATTCTATCTTTTAAATATGGTGTTTGTCACAATATTGGGAAGAGCACGAAAGGGGTTATCATTAGGCTACTGTCTGTGCGCAACGCCTGTGAACAGAGGTTCTACTGTTTGATCAACGAGCGCATCCTTATGTCTGTCGTTACCGTCTATGTTCCAAAGCCATAAGACAAAGTCAAGTTCACATCAATGATCATTATTATTCGCGCAAAAGTATTTTCTCAGAACATGAGTTTTGCTATTTAGAACACAATTTAAAGCGGAATTGTCATGCGCCAAGCAATCCTCGCTGTGATTAAAACATTAAATTGCATACCACAGGAAAATTGTTCGAAAGCAGCACATCCACTGCAAACATTTCTGTTTAAATTCATATAAAAATGAATAGAAGTTAAAATTATATTATTATGTGAGCAGAGTAAAGCGAAGATAACAAAGCAAAACACAAACAAGAGCAAAACAAAACACTGAAAAAAACAGAGCAAAATAAAAAACAGCAAAACTAAACAAAAAAACAGTACTAAAACAGAACAAACAAAAGAAAAAATGAAACCAAAAACAGAGCAAACAAAACAAGACAAAAAACTAAACAAAAAACAAAAAACAGCAAAACTAAAAAAAAAAACAGAACAAAAATGAGCAAACAAATAAAAAAGAACAAAAACAGAACAAAACTATAAAGCAGAAAAAAATTTAACTAAAAGCAGAGCAAACAAAACAAAACAAAAACAGCTAAATGAAACAAAACAAACAAGAGCAAAATTGAACAGAGCAAAATAAAAACAGCAAAAAAACAAAGTAAACAAAACAAGACAAAAAACAGCAAGCTAAAAAAAAACTAAATTAAAAGCAGAGCAAACAAAAAACAAACTAAAAAAGAACAAACAAATTACACAAAAAAACCAACAGAACAAAAACAGCAAACAAAACAAAAAACTATTTTAAAAAAGCAAACAAAACAAAAACTATCAAAAAACAACAACAACAACAAAATAGCAAAGCAGAAAAAAAAACAGAACAGAACAAAACAAAACTAAAAACAGAGCAAACATCAAAAAATCAGCTAGCTTTGCAGCTGGCAGAGTAATAAGAGAAACTTAAAACTACTATATAAATATATATTTTAATAAATTTGACCACAGATTTACCAATCCAGAAATATTCCTATAACAACCCAAAATGTGATTTTCCAACATGTTTTCTCTTTTTATAGGTCTATTCAAATCAGGTCACTTGGGAATAAGCCACATTACAGAAGATAAATGAGTTGTGAACAACCATTTTACATTTACATTTGCTCATTTAGCAGACACTTTTATCCAGAGAAAATGAGGAACATCACAAGCAATTTAAAATGTTATGCCATCTTTATTGTCAATACGGTTTCCTCCATTTTGGCAAATCGCTCGGTTTTCCTCATTTGCTTTGCACAAAAGCACCTGCTAAATGAATAAATGTAAATGTCAAAAAAAAAAAAAAAAAAAAGAATTTTTAAGATTTGCACCCAAAGTGTTCAGATTTTTGTACTAGAAATGTATGCAA